TTTCCCCCCCCCCCCCCCCCTGATTTTTTGTATGTGAATAAATTTCATTAAACCCTATGAACTTTGAGAATTAGAGAAAACCCCTAGACTTTGGGGAGTTTTACAAAACCAATTTTAAAGTAGATGATAAAGAGATTGACTGTGCATGCATTTGTTGCCGACAAAAAAACAATGCCAAAGTTTGTGTAACTTTCCGAATTTCTTAGGGGATTTTAAAATTTACTCTTGTAAAAATATTATTGTGCAAAAGAGTGGAATAAACAGTTAGTGAGTGGGTTTTGAGTTTTGGGATGAATGCAGGTCCGCTTTGTTTGAGATGGGGAACACTAAGGTCATTGCTGCTGTCTATGGGCCTCGAGAGGTTGGTCATCTCTGATGTTTTTCTATTTGTTATCATTTTATTTTAATCTCCATTTTGTTCAAGAAGCATTTTGTCCTAAAGTTAAGCAGACCTCAAGGTTTGGACTTCACTTGGAAGGACAAAATAAATAGGAGATAAATAAATAAATCTTAACTTATCACAAGTATGATGTTTGAACAGAGGACCTTGCACAATCTATGATACCATGTCAAGAATAGTTCTCTCCAAAAGGTTAAATAATTGGATTGTAGACTAAAATTGGTTGATTTGATACCATGTCAAGAATAGTTCTCTCCAAAAGGTTAAATAATTGGATTGTAGACTAAAATTGGTTGATTTTGTTTGTTACTGTTAGAAGTCAACAACAAAAGGTTAAATAATTGGATTGTAGACTAAAATTGGTTGATTTTGTTTGTTACTGTTAGAAGTCAACAACTTTAACTCGAAACCACAATCATTTGTTAGATATTTGGTTTTGTTCGAAACTCTTCCTTTCAATTAATGTTTTGTTAGTCTTTCTTTCAACATAGGTTATCATTCCTAAGAGGTTCTTCATCGATGGTGCCTTTCAGTTTTGTTAGAATTTTATTTTATGCCCATTTAGTTGACTTAGGTTGTTGTCCATAAATCAGTCATCCAAACTTAGTCATTTTAGTGCATCCTTCTCGAACCATAATTTTTTCTTAAATTATGGAAAGTTTAGTTGAATTTTTTGTGGTTAAGTAATAATTGGTTAGTGTTTCTTTCAATGTAAATTGTAGTCCATTGAGAATCTTGTCTTACATGTCACAAAGAATCATAACTACTAAAGTATGTGCATTATGATGGGCAATGACTTTTAGTTGTTATTGTGAGTTTGAGGTTCTTCAAGAGGTTGTGATTCAGTATGCTTTATTTGTTGGGATTGGTTGCCTGATGAGTGATAGAATGAGAAGGATGATTGATAATTCTTGTTTGTGTAATTTAATTTTGGTCAACATTTATTTATTTATCAGAACTTGAATCATGCTTCTTCTGTTATTTCATTGTTGTTTTTTGTTATTTCAAAATTGGGCTGTTTTTAGACTAGAATTGCCCACTGTTTGTCATTATTGGCTCTCCCAATGGACCTCAAGATGAGAGGGGTTCATTATAAATCTAAAAGATCAATTGAGAAACCTACCTTATTGTTTGTGCAATGTAAGTGTATTAAAACTACGTAGGAGGAACTTTTTGTCCTGTATGGGATGCATATTTGTAAGCTTTAAAGGTGAATTAATAGTTGCTGTATAGATCTAAATTAGTTAATGAGGACTAGTGCAAGTAAAAAAGAGCTATGTAAGCTTTCTCTTCTCATCACTTAATGTTAAAAGCTAAATAAAACTCTTTCATGAAATTTCAAACCTTTTAAATTAAATCCCAAAATCTTGGTCTGCAAGAGTCAAGGGCCTTGAAGCTATGTGCTTTTGCTAAATCTATAACCGGAATTGCATCAAACTATAAAATCAAGATCCTTAAGAAGTCAATCTTGTAAAGAAATCACTGTATCACAGTATCACATTCAACCTCTTTCCTTAAATATCTGACTTCATTCTGGTAAAATTACTTGCTTACAATACAGGTCCAGAACAGGAGCCAGCAAATTAACGACCAAGTCCTGGTACATTATCTTAATTTCCCCTTTTCCGATGAACTAATTTTGTTTTAGATTTTTCTTTCTATTCAAAGTTCTCTCTTCCTCTGAAATTTAAATCAGGTACGCTGCGAGTATAGCATGGCTAATTTTAGCACAGGAGACCGGATCAGAAAACCAAAGGGAGACAGGTGCGTCACTCTTGAGATATAAAATGAATTTTGGTGCATTTCCTTTTCTTGATAAAAATATTTGATGCATATCTTTGCATCCAATTTCTTTTTATCTGTTTAGATGTTCATTTAGACATAGTTGTGTGGTTGAGTTAGGACTTGTTAGGTGCATGAAATAATTTTGGCGAATGATAAGGAAATGGGTTTCTGTGCAGAGATTTGAAGTAGTTTTTTAGATTTGATAGCTAACTTGCAGAAAGCGATTTTAGACTTTTTCATCTTATCTCCCCTATTATACTTCTCCTTCTCCCTCTTCCTCTTCGTCTATTCTGCATCTATTTTCTCTAGCCAATAAATCTCCTATGCATCTTGCCCTGGTTCCTTCAAAGAAAAAAGTAGGGAAAATGATAGTGTCTAGGTATTTTTTATATTAATCTGCACTGTAAAGTTCATTTAAAGGTGGGGAAAATGATAGTGTCTAGGTATTTTAATCTGCGCTGTAAAGTTTTTATTGTCATAGTTTTACTAAAATTCATGTCAATAGAGATTAGGTAGTTGTGAAGGGGTCTTTAGATGTTAGAGAAATTTGGTCCATCCGATTGTGTGGGGTAACCAGGTCATACTAGACATAAGAGAAGAGAATTTAAATTTGGAGGGCAAGTGTGAACCTACATGATTATATAAATTATAATAATGTAATATAGATGTTAAATCATGAGAAGGAAATTTTGAGTCGCTTTACAATTTTTAGATAGTTAGTGAAATCCTGTTATGCTTACCTTTTTACTATTGTAATTACACAGTTTTATCTAGCTAGATTGAATTTCTAATTACTTATGTATTTTATTGACATTTTTTCCCTCTATTTTCTATCTCTACCTTGGTTTAGTATCTCATACATGAAGCAATTGTTCTCATTCACTATTTTCTCCTGATGATTGTTTTCAATTCTTTTTCTTACTCATGGAACTTTAAGTCACCAAAATGTTTTTTCATTTTCTCTTTAATTAAATATGTTTAACTTAGATACTTCATATGTCATCCTTTATAGATCATAATTATTTTAAATATTTTTAGAATAGTTAACTGTAGTGTATCTCTATTGCTCCATATATGTCACTGTTTACTGTCACTTCCTCAAGTATCAATGTAGATTAATAAATCTTTTAGTAAATAGTATTTCCTATGTCCCGTCCATCTTGAAATATGGCTTGTTATTCCTTCAACCTTGGTAAAGGAAAAACACCTATTATGCTTTCAGAAGTGGATGTTCCCGTGCTGTAAATTGCTGTATATATTCTTGCATGAAACGGGGTTTTTATCTTCCTATATTCCTTATAAGATTTTGTGTGGACATTCACTGGACAATGACATCAAAGAATATGAATTGAGAGAATTTTACATGCAACATTATGCTAATTAGCTACTATATTACAGTAACACATTGATTAACGTACATAATTTATTGTGCAAGAAAGGCGGTCTACAGAAATATCTTTAGTAATTCGCCAAACAATGGAGGCATGTATTATGACCCATCTAATGCCAAGGTCCCAGGTTAGTTTTTTTGGAATCTACTTGGAAGTTTCTTTTTATGGTGGTTAATATATGTGATGTTTTATTTATATACTTATAGATTGATATATTCGTTCAAGTTCTTCAAGCTGATGGTGGTGAGTATACTCTGTTAAAGTTTGGAGTTTCTCAGTTTTAGCTGATATTATAAAAGATTCTGTTTTCATGCATATAACCATAGATCTTCATGCTTCTCCTACAAACCGAAATGCTAATATTTTATTAAGTTTGAATGCCACTCCTTTTATTTAGGAACGAGATCAGCCTGCATCAATGCTGCAACATTAGCATTAGCAGAGGCTGGGATACCGATGCGTGATCTTGTAACCTCCTGTAGTGCTGGATATCTCTGTACAACGCCTTTACTAGGTCAGAATACTGACCATTTGCTATATGTTTGCTAACTTAAACTCCTAGTGAGCGGAATCTAATTTATAGAATTTTGACTATTTTTGAACAGATCTGAACTACGTTGAAGATAATGCTGGGGGTCCAGATGTCACTGTTGGGATACTAGCAAAGATGGACAAAGTGACTCTTCTTCAGGTCTGTACTACTGTTTACGATATTGGCGTCTATTTTAGGAATATATAGCTACATTTGTGCTATCTGCTTGAATGTCATTGGGTATCTTTATTTATGATATGTAGGTTGGTCTAAATTCTAGTACACCACTTTAGTGTAATTCCAAGTTCCTTGTCTCGATAATATTTTATCTTGGAGAGATTTATGGAATAAAACAACAAAATATATTGAGACTTTGGCATACTGGAGAGTATTACCTTGTTGTTTTTGAAGTTTTTTTTACGCAAAGTGGTTTATATCTAAAAAAAAAATTCTGTTTTTTGTATGTGTCCCCCTTATTTTGTGGAGGAAGTTATTGAATTAATGTTGTAGTCTTCACATTATGATAGAGTAAAGACACCATATACACCAATCATTAGTTTCATATGTTTTAGTCTCTTGGCTCCATATCTTTCATTCTTCTCCTACTACCTTTCTTTCCCCTACCTTTCTCATTCTGAGACTTTCATAATAACTGTACATCTTTGGAGTTGGAACACCCTATTCCTGATGTTGGTACTTGATATTGTTTGGAGCTAATTTGAACAAAATTCATAAGGTCCAACCTGTTTATTTTTCCATCTCCGAACATATAGTTTCTTTCCTGACATCTCTTGGAACAAGCATTCTGTTTTATCTATGTTGCATGGGTACTTCTATCATGAAACTGAAACCGTACTTGGCACGTACTATACCCATAACAGGAACATACACTTCCTTGAACACTCCTTGGACATATGCAGACATTTATTCAAAAATGTGATCAATTATATTATTTGTACGTCTTAATTCATTAGACATTTTTTAATGTATATCCTACACTTTCACTTCTTGAAACTCGTTGGATATGGGTCGGGTTCATTTCAACCCTAATCTGATTCAGAAGTATATTTTAAATGATCTTTTGGAATCAAATTAGAGAACGAGCAGGTGCATAATTTATAATCTACATTATAGATATTTTAAATGATCTTTTGGAATCAAATTAGAGAACGAGCAGGTGCATAATTTATAATCTACATTATAGAAGAAATATAAACATGTTGTAGGAATTTTAGGAGAACGAGCAGGTGCATAATTTATAATCTACATTATAGAAGAAATATAAACATGTTGTAGGAATTTTAGTCCTCAACATGTGAATGAAAATACAATATTGATCTCATGTAAATTATAGATGTAGTGATGTCCTGTACCCACAACGGTACCCATGTTATTGTAACACATGCTGTAATATAAATGCTTTCTCTAGAACTCTTTTTCTAGTAAACTGTCTTTTAAATTTATGTCAGAACAGTCTCTCTTGTGGACTTTCCCCCCCTCTTCATTGAGCTACATCTGCAGGTTGACATTCTTTTATTTCTGGTTGAGTCCTAAATCATGATTAGAGGAGCTACAACTTATGCCTACTTTCAATTTGATTCTTACTCATATTACTTTCACAAGTACTTATAATCTTGTTGTCTTACTTTTCAGATGGATGCAAAATTGCCAATGGATATATTTGAAAATGTCATGCAGCTTGCAATCGAAGGATGCAAAGCAATAGCTCATTACATTCGAGATGTGATGTCCCACTTGCTCTCCTTTTATGTGTTAATCACTCCATCAGTCATTTAATTTTCTCACATCATCATATTTAAGAAGTTGCTTGCATGTTGATTTCAAACCATTGAAGAATTAGTAACCAGTTACATGTTTTGCTATATGGATCAGGTCCTTTTAGAGCATACAAAACAACTGGAGTGCCGGAAAGGCGTTTAATACACAGGTTAAGCTTATTCTTGAAATTTCAAAGCTGTAATTTCTTAGTTTAAGCATTGTCTACTATTATTGTTGGAATTATAAGCTTGAGTTGAGAAATATGAGGTGTTCGAGAGAGCACTCAGCATGTAATCAAGCTTTGCATCTAATTTCCTTGTTGCTAATCAGTTGGCAGAAAATGTACTTTTTTACTTGCTGCAGTCTATTTCAGCGAATGCCTATATGAGTACTTTGATTCACTCCCGAAGAATTTGAGTTCAAATGCGTAAACGGGCACTGTCACTAAAATTATATTCTATGAAGGATTAGCCTGTGGCTTTAAACTGAAGAAGACATAAATAGCAAAGAAAACAGAAGAGATGTCTTACGTGATGCTTAAATGCTGTCACTTTGATATGAACTTCATCAGAATGATTTGTTTATATGATTTTAATTAAAGGTCATAGATAGATTTTGGAATGCTTGAAACCTGAGTTTGCGTCAGTGTACTTGATCCAGGCTAGAGGGTTCAAGGGTATAACCTATTCATGAGTATATTTTGTAGTTCTCAAAATGTTGGCAAATATTAAAAGTTCGAAGTGTTTTGGCGAACTTTAGAAGTTCGAAGTGTTTGTTGCCTCTCTGTGATCGACGCTGGTAAAATGTATGATTCAGTTTCAAGGATTGTTGTCCAACCTTTTTTTTTAATTTATTTATTGTATGTTGGAAGACTCTATACCTTGAGGGGTTTCCTTGCAAAAACTTCATTGTATAACATTCGGTTTACATCTGCAATATATTTTTAATAGTATAACTATGTAGGGTTACAACGTTGTAGTTTGTCATACAATTTATCCTATACGAGTCAGAACTCTCTTGTTGAGTTATAGCCTCTTTAAAAATTTGGACTAAGTTTGCCAATTTTTGTTGCTTCATTGATGAAGGCTCAGTACATTTCTAGGATTGTCATACCGTATATTATGAAAATTGCATCATCATGTGTTTCCTTGCAGAAGTTTATTGTTTGCAGTCTAGAACAGTGATAACAGAAGTTTTAAACAAAGCCATGATACAAACTTGCCAATGTAATTCTATGTGCCAACCACATTTCAATAAAAATGATGACTTAAAAAGATTTTCATACTGGAATAACAATGACACATACTTATTAATATATCTTCAATTCTGCAATTTGTACTCAAGAGAAAATTTGAGCAAACCATAAAACAAGAATAACAAGAGCCAGTTCATGTTTATTGATCAAATGCATTATAGTCCTTACATGCCACTAGCAAATCTTGAGCCCGACACATATCAGGCATAAGCGCAGCTACCAAAACCCGCGAACAAGATCAACACATTTTATAAATGTTCAGGCGATGAAGAACCCTAAAACTGGAAGGACTAACTTCAAATACACTTTCCGTACTATAGATATTAGCAACTTATGACCCCGAAGCTCTGCACTTAGCACTAGACTCGAATGTCCAAACAGAGTTATCTCTCGGTTATTTGTAATGTCACGTGACACCTATTATTTTATAGGTGTTGTAGAGAGATCTCCTACAAATGCATATACCCCTGAGTAGTACCGATACAGATAATAGAGAGATAACAACTTATGATTATCAGAGGGTCTAGTGCTAATAAAAAAAGTTCACAGGTAGTAAGTAGCTAACCCCCTCGAGAGCTGGTAGTGTATACGCAAGTAACCCAAATTGAAATATGATCTAAAATTGTCAGAAATTATTACTCGGGTTGGTCGTGACAATGAGAGCAGGATCCTTGAAGTGGCAGGGGGGGCCGTTCCTTCCACTTGCTTGGTAGTAGAGATTCATTGCGATGGAAGCATGAGACATGAGAGTATCAGGATAGTAGCAATTGGAACCCTTCTGCAAAATGCCGCAATCAACCTGAGAACAAGCATAGTTTATGTTTGCGAGAAGAGTTGCTTCATCTGAAGAAGGCTTTGCAACACACCCAAGTTTTCTGCCAAAAAAAAAGGAAAAAAAAAAAACAAAAAGGAAAAAAAGTTGATGCTTAGTAGATGTGCAATTTTTATGGGAAATCAGTATCCAGATCGCAACATTTTTGAAGTGATGCTAAACTCGTTCATTATTGATATCAGTACTATTTTTGCCTCCAATGCTCAGCTACAACTAATAAATCACCTGTCAGCAAACATATTACCCTAATCTTTACCATATATTTAAATTTGAAGGAAGGAGATACAGTCTGTAGGATTTCCATTATCATAATAATTAATAGCTCTCAAATACTGCTTTTAAGACGATTGGTTTCAAAATAACAATGAAAGTCCCATGTGATTGCATCTCATCCCTTGAAATCCGAGTGGACGGGGTCAGAGATTTTAGTAATTAGACCCGCACCAACTATTACCTCGTGTATTTTTAATGATATTACCCCTGGAAAGGTTACTTCTCTACCAAGAAACTAGAAGAATGGGTATTTGTGCTCATCTCAAATCGTATGCTGGTCTCGAAAGTGGCATAATGCCGTAAACTTGCAAGTTTTGATTCTCGTTGAAGAATGTAAGAAAAGAGAAAAGTGCATTCATCAGTGTTTAGGATGATAATAAATGACAAAGGTTAGGTCTTTTATAAGTGACATCTCACGCATATTTACAGAATTATATAAGGAGGGAGAAATCATCCTCCTTCTCGAATTAGATTCCTAAAACGAATCATTGAAAAGTATCATTCAAGCAGTTCAAATTTGAACAAGATTCGTTCTCCCGGTTGTTGAACCTTATTTTTGCGGTCCTGCACACATGCACATACATAGTTTAATCCCAAGCCGACAAAGTTTGAGGAATGGGTACGTTAACAAGAGTATTTACTGAAACTTTTTGAAAGCGAGCCTTCGTCTATCTAAATTCAATCTTCATCCCAGACAAGTGTTACACCGCAAGATTTAGTCTCACATTGGTGGGTGAGTGAGAACTTGAAAAGTTTATATGTGACATTGTGGGAATTCAAGTATAGCATCTGCGAGTCAATTTTAGCAGTTGTTAAAGTTAAACAATGCACAACACTCACTGGTCCCATGGCTTACTCCGTGCCGATGGGCTCGAAGGCCTGGGGCGTTACAAATGATATCAGAGTAGTCGTCAGATCGAAGTGTGGAATTTTTTATGTTGGTATTTTCTTTTTCAACCGTTATGCTTTTAAGGCCTTAGCAGTTTGCTAATCTTCTTTTTTTGCATTGGTATGGTACTGTGGTCTACAGAAAATCTTGACGACAGTTTTAATTATTCTTTACATAAGAAAGTTATTACTGCTGCTTAAGAAGCGGTTCCTTCTCTCATTCGTGAATGCATTAATTTCTGGTAAAAGTTTAATTGACATGAGGTTGTTACTTCTGAAGGCAAATATGGCACGTTCAGCTTCGATTGTGACGAGTCCAGAGATTACTATTTCTTTTGATGAAAGTATGTCCATCTGTTATTCTATGAGAAGTCCAGAGTTTTGAGTATATAGATAGTGGGGATTCTTTTGAGTATATAGATAATATAAAAAATTAATTCGTCACAATATGACATACAACAATACGTCTTTTTTAGTCATTTGACAACTAAAACAACCTTATAAGCTAGTAGCCTACGGAACACATAGCTACTCAAATATCCTTAGAAGTCCAGGGATTTTGCAGACACAATTCAGCACGCACAGGTTTCAATAGTGGATCGACGATCATGGTAATCACAGGTCATTACAACTTTCATCGCGCTGAAAATTTATGTCACTACCCAAAAGCAAACTCTGTTTACAATCAGACAACACCCAGCTAAAATGATAAGCATAACACGAATAATAATAATAATAGAACTCTCAACTTAACAATAAATAAATAATTTCACCCGATAGGAACAACTACTCGTGTCTGATAATATGACAATCATGGCAATTAAACGAGCTGATAATTGTATCCACACTCGGTCTCACATACCTTTCAAAAAGTTCCACAAAGGATTGTTTATGCACCTACCAATGAAAGCAACTGTAGTTTCTACTGGCAACATTAGCAGAGAGCGCTGTAAAAGAAATAACCACTTGAGAGAGACGCGAATGAAGCGAAATCCTATAGAGGGCCCTTTGTCGATGTATCATATAATTAGAACAAAGAGAGCGACGCCTGACATAAATCTTGATGCGCGTAGGGGACAACCAAGGATATCCCGTATTTTGAGATTGGGGAGAACTTCTTGAACTTGAATCAGTTGTACATGTACTGTCTTGTTTGCAAGTGCAAGTCCGGTTGCCACCATTGGTGAAGGCCATGAGCTGCTTTAAAATCCGGACAAGGGCTCAAATTAATAGACAAAATAGCAGATGGAAGGAGATGCAACGGATCCGACTCTGATCCCCTCCCAATCGCACTCAAAAACCCATCTCCTAGAGAATTCTGTGTCGCCAACTTTTCAATTATCCCAACTCCCAAATTTTCCATATTTTTCCTATGTTCAAAATATCCGATATACTCCGAGCAAATGTGATCATTTGGATTAACAAAAAGGCAAGGGACCCAAGATGATATCACAGCAAAAGAATCCTCAATAACAGGCCTCTCCTGCTTAAGTTTGCGCGCAATACTGAGTCCTGCTGTGATCACACTACCAGCAATCCTAAGCCCATGTTTCACCTTCTGGTTATTGATCCTCTCAATTGGAGCAGAAAAAAATGGGGGATTGAATAGAAAAGCCTCAAGCAAAACACCACATTTAGCCATGTTCTTTCCACAAAATGTTGCCATTGCTGAGCCAAGAGAATGGCCAGCAAGCCAGATATTTGAACCTCCAGAAGCAGAGACAATATTTCTTACAGCTTGTATTGCAATCTCAGAGCGAGATGATCGATGCAGTGAATTTTGAATAAGGTGGAAGTCCAAAGTGAGATCACGAGCAACTGAGTCTCTCCTAGTGAGGGTCCCACGAAAGGCTATCACAAATCTTGGAGCATTTTGGATAAGGAATGGGGGTTTCAACTCAAAAATGGCACCAAAGATGGAGCAATCAGCATCATCTACAAGTGTTCGGATAAGATCAAAATGGCAGAACTGCCACCAAGCTGGTGCAAGAGCATTAGGGCCCCGGCGGTTTTCTTGTCGGTCGCAATCTAAAATATATGCAGCCTGAACCAAACAAGCAGCAACGGCTCTTCGTTGGTGTGGGAATTTCCTATGAGATAGAAAAGACATAATCACAAAACTATCGAAGTTGATGAAAAATATATGACGAGTATTGCTAACTACCAAGCATATGAAAATCAATTTTACAACGAACATATTTTGCAAAACATAAACTACCCGTTATATTTGCTTGTTTTAGCTTTTAGGGATTTCGCCGTATTAGACACTAAATTCTTGCTTAGTTATTAAGTAGGCCCCCAAATCTTCATATTTCTGACACCTCAAATATTATTTAATATGAGACTTTGGTTAAATCTGACTATAGTTAGTCCATTTTCTATTGCTATTCTCTCTCACTTCATCCTCCTATGGAGCAACCTCTAACCTGTAAGATGCGCTCATTTATTATTCTATCCTTAGTGCATATCTACAAGATCTTCTCGTACCTACTACATTCATTCTCACATGTGTTTTTTAATTGCACAACATTCTGCCATAAAGGATTGTTCAACTTATTGTCCAGTAGAAAATCTTATATATATTCATGATCACGTAAGATTTCAGAAGCACTCCTATAGTTTAATCATCCTGATTTGATTCAATGAACCACGTCATTATCAATGTCCTTCATACAAAAGGTTGATCCTAAGTTACCCCATGTTTCTCCTTGGTGTTTCTTGACCATCAATGTAATTAATTCTTATTTATCTTCACCATTTTATTTTACTAATTCCAAATACTTTACATTCGAGAACTTCACTCTGCCTATCGACTTTAGAAATTATCAGTTCGACGGACAGTAAAACCGTTAACGTGAACATTGCATGTTTCTCTTATATGTACTCTTCAAGGAATGTATACTTATTCGTAAAGTAGAGATGCCGCTATAACTCATCACAGACAACTAAATTGACAAGTGAATTTCATCTAGCCTTAATTAGAAAGGTATAGAAAAGCAGTTAAAAGACGAAAGAAAAAGAACAAAACAGATCATACGCCAAACAAATTATTTGATTTTTGAAGTACAGCACTGTTAATAAAGCAGAATACCTGTGGACAACTTACCAATCAACAGAAGTCAGATATCTCGGTCCTGAGATACTAAATACATCCCTTTCAGAGACCACCGTGATACTCTGTTCCGTTGATAACGCCATAGAAAGATGTGCTAGATCAAAAATGAATTAAAAATTTTAGAAAATTCCAATGCAAAACCATCTAAACAAGAACAAACCATGGGAAAAACAACAGCACATTGTGCGTTCAAGAAAAAAAAAATCACCATCATATGCAGTGATTTAATAACCTTTGCATTTGTTTGAAATTTTTGATAGAATATAAATGCAAGCAACATATAACATCAAAACACATAGCATCAGCAGTCAACTAACTGACCACCCATCTCATTAACCATGAAATGGGCAAGCAACTCAAATTAAGTTTCATACCGTAGTCACTAGTCATGTATATCACTGAAAATGCTACAAAGAAGCAAAGTGGACGCACGAATTTCGGTTCACTCCAAACACCAAATGACCATAATCCACGGATAAGAACCTCATACAAGAAATAGCAGTCGGGTGGGTGAAATCCCCTGAATTTTTTCTTGCGGTCACACGGGGAAGAAAACGTCCTACCAAGACATAATGCTAAGTGATATGGTAAACTGATGCAGTTACACAAGTTTTTCTTTTCTTTACAAGCATGTGAGGTGTTCGAGTTTCATTATGTTAGAATCCTGCAAAAAACACACTGCTAGACAATGAATACTACACATAATATGCCTCATATGATGAACATTGGATGGTTGGTTGCTTGTCAACTAGATACATTCTAAATTATGTTAGCCGTAAGAATAAAAACCCTCACTAATAAACAAAATAAGGGGTGAGGTTTAAAAAGAAGAGCTTTGTTCGTAATATTTGGGCGGGTTGGGTGGTAGATCTTGTGCTGCTGCTGCTTTATACTATTTTCTGGGTGGGCTTAATATATATCATGTACAGATCAACACCAATTCTGCTCTCCTATTCAAAACAATGACAGTCTAGATAATGGGCAGATAATATTGATGAAGCTTAGAATATTCCATCAGATTTTGATGAATATTCCCCAGTACACAACCATGGGATCAAACCATGGGATATAATCTAAACTAACACAAGATCAAACCTTCAAGATATTGGGGAAAAAAATACAACCCGAAAACAAAAAAACACACCGATCGCCCGACAAACTGCAGCAAAAAAAAAAAAAAAATAACTTTCTCAAAAATAGCAGGAGTACATAATGTTGGGAGAAGGAGGCGTTAAGATTTCAAAAGAGGGGACGCATACCGATCGCAGGGGGCAATGTAATACCTCGACGGCCCCAGAATCGCCCGAAGAGGAACAGATCCAGTTGAAAACTAATAACAAAGGCGTCACCTTTCTCATAACTCTCTCTCTCTCTCTCTCTCTGCAAGTAATCGGATGGTGGGTAATCTAGGAATTTTGATGGATGTATATCTAGCGTCCTGAATTTTGTAACTTTAGGGCTTGTTTGGATTGAGGGGAATGAGGGTGAAGGGAAGTTAGGGGAACCATTCACCTTCATTCACCTTGTTTGGGAACACTTAGGAGATGAAGTTAATTCATCTTAGTTCCCCTTGGTTCACCCCCTAATAGTATAAAAATTGTTACCCCCCAAATTGGGGTGTAACCAAGGGGAAGGGAATTCCCTTCCCTTCCCTTCCCTTTCCTTCACTCAGTTTCCCTTAACTTCCCTTCACCCCCCCTTCCCTTCCCTTCCCTTTCCTTCACTCAGTTTCCCTTAACTTCCCTTCACCCCCTACAAATCCAAACAGGCCCTTGGTACTTAAATCATTTTGAAATTAGCCTTCCGGATCATTAAAATTGTTATTGGTAATTAGTCATGGCACGAGTAGTACTAGTAATGAGTTAAATTATCAAGATTTTTATTAGGCCCCCCGAATTCTCATAGAGTTGATTCAAACTAACATTTTTAAATTGCAAATTCTATTATTAGCGGGTGTTTGCTTCGGTAAAAAAATAAAAAGGAAAGAAATACCCAAAACCAATTTTGAGAGAAGACACCTACAAACAATCGATTTTAGTCAATTTTAACCATTTTAACTGAATCATCTGATAATCAAACCAAACCGAACCGACTTATTTCAATTCGGTTTAGTTAGTTCTCTTGGTGCTTATAAGCTCAGCCTGTAAACCACCATACAAGCAATTAGTAGCAACCTAATAAAATTGGTGACTGTCTAGTTTGGCAAATATAAATAGAGAAATTATACACAAGAGAAATTGAAGAAAGTGAAATTTATGGAGGACATGAGACAGAAGCAATGACTTCGGTTTTGGTACTAGAAGAGATGAAGAGGTGACACCCTTTACTCTATATTTTTTATTCAAGGGTAAAATAAATAAATTTAGTCTTGATACTAAAGGCTTCATTTTCAAGTTAGTCCTTATATCTTTTTTTTCTCAACTTAGTCCTTATACCTCCAATTAGATACAGACATGGTCTTTTTTAACATTTGGTTAAAAATCCGTTAAATATAAATTAAAAGGACAATAATACCCTAAAAAATAATCTTCTATATTACACCTGGAATCGAACCTTTGAAATAGAACTAATATAAGCTGTATATAATAACTTGTTTAAAATCAGATGGTAAGCCATTAAAAGAATTTTGGAGCTCTGATTCCAAGTCGGGAATCCTTTGCGAAAAGATATTTCTTATTGAATTTTCAGATAATTTCAAGAAGTCTCTCTCGACATTTTCTTGTAAATGGACTATCATAACTTTGATATTTTGATCTATAATTAATCTCTCAATATGGTGATGACCCATCACCACACTTGTCAAATGAATTATAGAAAGATGGAAAGAAAAAGAAATTCATGTTGGTCCCTACTGGACACAATGATGCAATTTTACCTTCAACATTAGTGTCTATGACATAAAATGTATCCTTGTTGTCATATTTGTTTTTAGAATTCACTAGTGCATATTGGCCTTTATATTCCCGAATGTTTATATAGACAGTGGTAGTTGTTGGCCTTCTTGTTTTGATGATGATTTACAAACAATCCCTAATATTGTTTGTCTAGTGTTTGCGTTTTCTTATTAGGTATTCTAGACAAACAATCAGTTGGAGGATGGATGGAATTATGCTTCAACGATCATATCCAATGGAGGTTGGCGGAATATCGGAGTGAAGCATTGCACATCAAGTCATATTCAAGATCAAGCTTCATCCGCAACCAAGTCGAGCTGTATTGAAGATCTTCAAGCTTGGGTAATTTAGTTTAGGTTTATAATCGTGTGTGGATACTTCAAGCTCAATCACATGTACACATACATGTTTTGGTTTTATAGTTTCCAGTTTTGTTTTCTTATGGGTTTTTGGTCATTTTGTGTGGGTTTTGGATGATGTTTTGGGTTGTTATAAATACCCCATTGCATTTATCATTCCCACCAACCAAGAGTGTTTAAAAACAAGTTTTAAGGGTGTTTTAAAATTCGTTTAAGTTTTGTTTCAAGTTTGTTTTGCGAAGAAATTTTCACAAGAGGAAGAGTTATCCATTCTTATTTGGGCTTTAATCTACATCACTCCACTCTTATTTTAGAGAAGTTTTATTCAACTCATCATCTAGCTTGTTTATACTTAATTTGTCATATTTATTTTTTGCTAGATTAAATTGAGTTTATATTTGTTTTACTCTTTATTTACACACACAACCATTGAGCTTATTGTATTTGCATACATAGTATAATTGGGGTTGTAAGATTGTGTGACTTAGAGAGTGAGCTTACACTTAGTTCTCATTCTTGTATTAGAGAACACAATTTGTATTTGAGCCTTTATTGTGAGGATACACTTTGTAATACACTTGTACACCGAGAGGAGTGTGTGGTGAAAGACGGCGTCGTCCCAAGAGGAGTAGCGTTGGTAGTAAAACCTAGGGAGATGTTATAAATCCGAGCACTTGAGGAAGACACGAGCTAGAGACCAACACTTAGAGGGTGTAGAGTGAAATTGCAAGAGTATTGATTGTAAAGTTTTCGGTGAGCTAAAAAACCGAGTGTGAGGTGTAAGCGTTTTCGGGTGAGCATCGAAAACCCAGTGTGCTAGTGAATTTCTCCCCGGAAGTAGGGAGCTGAGACGTAGGACGGAAGGTCCGAACTCCGTGATCATTTGATTGTGTTTGATTTTGCATTGGCGTTCATTTATATTTGTGCCCATTGCTCATATCGTCATTGTCTTATTATTTAGTTTGTCCACTATATTGTTTGCATTTGTTTGTTTCACCATTGTGTTATTTGCTTATCATTGTATATATCTTGTAGTATATCATATTTAATTATTAGGATATTTATTAATTCATTTTTATTGGCATTAAATCGGAATAGATTATCATAAACCCTATTCACCCCCCTAGGGTTCTTTCTTAGTGGCATTAGAGTCTAACAGTAGTGCCTCTCTCAAGGCTAAGTTTGAGAACACCAATTAGGTTGGTACTTTAGAGCATGAAATTAAGATGGTTAATATGGGGTCAGTAATCAGCATAAAAATATGCATGCAAAGCTACAAGAGAACAACTATCAAGTTCTAGCATAATAAAGATGTTGAACCCGCAAAAAAAGTGTGCATTTGGGAAATTCTAAGATTGGTCCTAGAAAAAATAACAATGGTCCTAGAGAAAATAACAAAAAAGAGTGAAAGTGATAGTGTAAAAATATAGAGAGGGATTTGTCACAAAAATTTAAAAAAACTAAAGCAAGAGGGAAGAAAAGAGAATAGAAAGAAACAAATAAAAAAACAAAGAGGAAACTAAAAAGAAAGAAAAAGAAATAACAACAAGAGAAGAGAAAGAAAGGAAGAAGAAAAAAAACAATAAAAGAAAATCAAGAAGAGGGAAATCAAGATATAGAGAGAAAAATCAAATCAAGAAAGACTGAGGAGAAACAAGTAGCATAGCTAGGACTTTAGAATTAAATACATTAGTTAATTTCAATTAAGATTTATGAATTACTCTTTTTTATGATATAAAACTTTAGATTTGCTAAGTATAGATTATCAAATCATTTAAAGAGCATAACCTACCAAATTATCATCCAAATAAAACTCCTATTCATAAAAAGAAAAACTTAACTAGATAAAAATCCTAGAAATGAATAAGAATAACCTATCAAACTACACAAGATAAGCATAGATTATCAAACTCTTTTTCTACCAATTTATACTCTAGTTGGTTATCCTAAGCATAATCATTTTAGATATAAAGAGAGCAATCCCATAAACCATAAAAAACTAAACTAATTTCATACAATTTCATCTTTCCTGAAGAGATTAGTTATTGTTGATGTCAGTTACCAACAAAGGGGTTTATCTATGGATTAAAGTTACATTAGGGTCCTCAAGCTTCTTCAAATGACTGATTCTTGAGTCCATCGTGTCATGCACATGGAAAGCTCATGAGAGGGTGAAGTTGGGTTCTCAGGTTGCTCCTCCGACGATCAAGTTAGTCATTAATCTTGAGTGGGGAAATATGAAGTGAAAAGAAGTTCAGAGTTGCCTAGAAAAAACCAGATAGCTTACCCTATGTAACGTAGCTTCCTTTTTATAACAGATTGGAAGGACAAAAATGTAACTTTAGCCGAGTCCAGATAGGCTGTTGAGTCAGCAGATACCTTATAGTTGTCGGTCACTGAAGAGGGTGAGTAATCTAGCTATTTAATATGGGGATGACGACAAATGCTTGGAGCTAATTGGATCTGATGAGTTATAAAGACTATGGAAGCTAGAGTAATAATAACTTTGTCAGAGTAGTTAATACGAGGGTAGTCAGTTGTTGGCGAGGGGTTCGAGGAAACTATCACATCTCTAGTTGTCTGGTTGAGGACCGATAAACACCGCCTTTTTAGTTAACCACGCAAGTTGTTGGCCCTGAAGTGATAGGCCAAGTGCGAGTACTTATAGGGTTAATCTGGTGGGTAGGCCGACAAGTGCGACCTTTTTAATCGACCACGCAAGTTGTCGTTCTAACAGGGCGGCTGCAGAAGCTACTCGGGTTGTATGGACTTTGATCATATTTGATTAGATGAGGAACGAGACACATGTCGGGCCAAGAAAGTGGTTTTAACATTTGGTGATTTATTGTCATAACAATTACATATATTATGTAAAAAAAGAAAATCAAATCTAGATCATATCAAATAAAAGTAAGGAGAAGAAAAGAAAGAAAAGAAAAACTAACTACGAAGCAATAAAAAGAGCAAAAGAATATAAATCTACTTTACAAAGCAAGAAGAAAAATTATACTACAAGTATAAAATAAATAAAATCTATAAAATATGAAAAAAATAAAAAAATAAAATCCTAAAAAAATGTAATTCTAAAATAAGAAAATAAAACAGGAAAAATGAAAACTTACATTCCAAATTTTTAAGAGGTTTGCCCCTTGTGAAGTGAAACTTCATCTTCACTTCATCATAAAGAGAAGAAAAATAAATATTAAGAAAGACGAATTTTT